CCTCATCCCCGTCCCCACATCCCTCCATGACCATCCCAAACCCCATTCCGATCCCCATCCAGATCCCCATCACCATCCTGATCCCTATCCCATCACCATCCCCATCTCCATCTCTGTCCCTGTCCCCTCATTCCCATCTCTATCCTGATCCCCATTCCTGTCCCCATCCCCATCCTCATCCCCACACCCATCCCCATCCCCATATTGATCCCTATCCCCATCCTTATCCCCATTTCCATCCCTGCCCTCGATCCCCATCCAGATCCCCATCACCATCCTGATCCCTATCCCATCACCATCCCCATCTCCATCTCTGTCCCTGTCCCCTCATTCCCATCTCTATCCTGATCCCCATTCCTGTCCCCATCCCCATCCTCATCCCCACACCCATCCCCATCCCCATATTGATCCCTATCCCCATCCTTATCCCCATTTCCATCCCTGCCCTCTCATTCCCATTCCCATCCCCATCCCGCTGCCAGGCTCAGCACCTTATTCCATGCAGGAACCGCGACCCCGGGAAGCTCCGGCCGGACACCCGAGGCCTCGGCGCCCGTCACGCCGCCGCCCGCCACCCACCAGCCGGCAGGTTGGCCCTCCTCTCCCTGGGATTTTTCCCCTTTTTCTGGGGAGGGAGCTGGCAAAAACGGGATTTGGGGGCAAAAAGCAGCTTTTAATGCAAAAAACACGTTCAGGTGCAAAACAGATTTTGGTGCATTTTAGCATCACAAGCAGCCTCGGCTGCAGTTTTGCTGCCCAAAAAAAGTGCAGTTTGGTACAAAACAGCCAAGCAGATCCCGATGCCACGGGTGCGTTTTGGTGCAAAGAGCGGATTTTGAGGATGCTGCAGATTTGGGGGCCAAAGAGCGGATTTGGCCGAGCGTGTTCCGGGCGGCCCGTGGGGACCCGGCGCCGGTTCCCACGCCGTTTTCCTCCTCCTTTCCCACAGTTTCCACCCGGACGCTGCTCTCGGCGCTCGGTAAGTGGCGGCGCCCGGGCTGGGGC